CATCTCTCTATCCTCATGTTCTCCTTATGAATACCTAGAAAGAAGCTGCTCACTCATCTCGTATTCAAATGCATGTGACACAACAATAACAATAAGAACAAAAATGAAAGAGAATAAGAAGATGATTCGACCTCAGTTCGATGTAAGAGTTGACGAGACAGTGAAAAAGAGATTGAGATGAATTGATGAGTTCATGGTGAGTTTTAGAGAACGAAAGAAGAAAGTAACATGAAAGTGACGGTGATGAATGCGAGTGAAATAATAATATTTGTTGTCGTTGAATGCTCGGCGTATTGTAGATTATTTGTAGTGTATCGTTTGAGTGGTGTCTCTATCGTTCATTATCTATTCACGTATTTAACGTATGATTGCTAGTTCACTTCGGATAGTTTTAGTCTAAATCAGCATTATTGTTTTTTTTTTCTAGAATTATCACTGCTATTTGTGAACTACCGATAAGTGAACAAGTGCCATTTTGTTCAAATCGCTGCTACTCAAATGGGCAATAAATCCTCGTCGCATCAACCTCCAGCATATCGATCCCAGCAACACAACTATCACTATCCACCACCCCATCTGAATCCCATTCGATTGCCTATGCCTCCACCGAATGCCCAACATCCGCTCTATCCAGGTCCACCACCGTACAACCATCCGAATCAATTTATTCGTAGCAGTCAACAATTCCATCATCAGTCAATGACATCGCTTCATCACCCATCAAATGCTGCCGCTGCTGCTGCAACTGATTCTGGTTATATGACAAGTCCATCTGAGAACGCTGAACGATGGAAAGCACAACAGGTGTGTGTGTGTGTGTGTCTGTGCTCATTTCTTAGCGTTTATCAATTCGATGTTCTTCCATTACCGTTACACATTGTTCTAAACACATTGCTTACTCATAGTCTGGTGTTTGCGCGATTCTCGTTCTTGCGACAAAACACTCATTTTGACAAGTTTCACTTTTTAATGAAAACATTCGAGTGCGCCTCAATCATCTGATCGAAACAAATCTTGAATTGTACTCTTGTCCTAACGAAGGAA